CGGTGCGGGGCTCGGTGCGGGGCCGGTGCGGGGCCGGTGCGGGGCCGGTGCGGGGCCGGTGCGGGGCTCGGTGCGGGGCTCTGTGCGGGGCTCGGTGCGGGGCTCGGTGCGGGGCTCGGTGTGCAGCCGCCCGTCGGGGCTCGGTGCGCCGGGAGAGCCCCGCCCCGCCCCGTCCCGCCCCGCAGCGCTGCTCCTCTCTCCGCTGCAGCCCGGGATGGCGCCGCGGCGGGGCTGAGCTCCCGGGCCGGGCCGGGCCGGGCCGGGGCCGCCATGGACAGCCCGAGCGGGGGCTGCCCGCCCTCCGCCGCCCCGTCGCGGGCGAAGCTGCCGCTCGGCATCGTCTTCTCGACGGCGCTGTTCTGCGGGGAGGGGGCGGCGGCCGCCGTGCTCTGCCTCTCCTACGGCCAYTCCGACGACCGCTTCTGGCTGGCGCTCACCGTGTTCTTCGTGCTCTGCCCGTCCGTCCTGGTGCAGCTCACGCTCATCTTCGTGCACCGCGACCTCAGTCGCGACCGCCCGCTGGTCCTGCTCATGCACCTGCTGCAGCTCGGGCCCATCATCAGGTGAGAGCGGCGGGGTTCCGCGGGCACCCCGGTACCGAGCGGGGAGCTGGGCTGAGAGCAGGGAGAGGTGCGGGGCACGGGCACCCCGGGCTGTCAGCGGCCATCCATCCGCCCGGAGCGGTGTGGGGCACGGGCACCCGGCTGTCAGCAGCCATCCATCCGCCCGGAGCGGTGCAGGGCAGGACAGGCACCCCGGCTGTCAGCGGCCATCCATCCGCCCGGAGCGGTGCGGGGCACGGGCACCCCGGCTGTCAGCGGCCATCCATCCATCCATCCGGAGTGCCCGGCCCCGCTCCTGCCGCCCCCCGGCTGCTCCTCCCCGGCCCGCGGGGTCTCTCGCTCGCCGGTGCCGCTGGCCCCGCTCCGGGCTCTGCCATCCTGTTGGATCCCAGCGGCTGGAAATGGTCAGGGGCCGGGGTGCAGCCAGCGTTCCCTMAACTTCTCGGGTTTGCCAGCACCATGCTTGGGCTGGGAGCACAGACGGGAATCMCCGGTGGGTGCTCCAGGGTGAATACGACACGGTATGAGGCTGAGATATGGGAGGTTTAGATAAGGTATTGGGAGAAGGTTTTATGGCCAGAGAGAGGCTGATGGGGCCCTGGAATGGGGTCCCCAGGGAGGTGGTCACAGCASCCAGCCTGTCTGAGTTCAAGAAGYGTTTGGAYAACGCTCTCAAGCACATGGTGSGATTCTTGGGGTGCCTTTCTTMRGTCCAGGAGCGAGACTCAGTTGGGATTATGGGACATGGAGGAGAAGAGCCAGGTGCAGGAACGAGAACAGGGGCCACTGGACCGTGTTGGAAAGAGGACAGTGAGGGGGTGGATGGATGTTGCACCAGCAGATCCCTCATTCCTCGGGAATGCTGTGGTGCCTCCTGGGCTGTCATCACCCTTGCCAGCCAGCTCTGTGAGAATGCACAACGGGAGGCATGGCAAAGCCACCATTCCATGGGCTTCCTTCCCCRGGGGCAGGGCAGCAGCCACGCTTTGGGCTCACTGCAAAAACACCGTGACCCGCTTCACACTTCCTCTGTCACCGGAAACAAGCAGGGCACSGGGGGTGTCCCCGTCACCATGTGYCATCCTCAGGGCCACCTGGGAGGCYTTGCCCYGGTGCTRCCAGCCCGTGCTGGCCCACGGTAGTGTTGTGACCCTCACCACACCAAGCAGGGCTGTCTGAGCCGGGTGCAGTGCTGCCCAGCTGCTTGCAAGAACCAGCCGGGGCTGCCCAGGGATGGCTGCTTCAGCYGCCTGCTAGGCTGGAGATGGAGCCAGCCTGCTGAGAAGGTCTGGCAGGGCACTGGGAGCCAGCTGGGACTGCCCTTGGAGCCAGGCCTTTGGGATGAAACTTTTCCCATTAGAGCTTGCAATGAGCCATGATCTGCCRAGAGAATTTATCCTAAAACCTTGCTCCTTTTGGGTTTGGTAGGCAATTTCTGCAGCCCTGTAAGCACTCACCAATAATGCTGTCCTGTC